GATGATAATGGAATAGTTTAGGTTAGATGGGCTTCAGATTGGTTTTCACAGGTCGGCGCAACATCGAGGGCCAAAGGGCCTGTACTGCGCTGTAATGTTCTATGTTCTATGTTCTATGTTTTTCAAATCTTTCTCCTCGCAGCATAAAAAAATGCCCCGTAGCCTTGAATTCCCCACCCTAAGGAAAAGGCACCTGCCACTCACCTTATCTATGCTCCTTATGATTTTATAAACTTCTATAAGATCACCCCTCAGCCTCCTGCACTCCAGTGAAAACAGTCCCAGCCTACCCACCCTCTCCGTATAACTCAAACTGTGAGTCCACCCTAATTACCAATCCCACCTTGTTGAGGGCAGTTAGTGCTAGGCAACAAATACCTGCCAATGCTCACATCCTAGAGATGAATAATAAAAAATAATCCAGAGAGCCTTGCTAACATACGTGTGTATATGTATCAGAGTGAGAAGGAGTAGGCTATTCAGGCCTTGAGCTCACTCTGCCTCTAGTAAGGTCGTGGCCAACCTGATTATTCTGCACACCCATCAATCCTGTAACCTCTTGCTTATGAAGAAATCTTTTTAAAATTCTGCTTGCAGTATTTTTTTTGAGGAAGACAGTTTCAAAGACTCATGATGCTGTGTGAGAAAACGATTAGAGACATAGAGTTGTACAGCATGGAAACAGACCTTTTGGCCCAACTCATCCACGCAGACCAGAACGCTGTGTTTCTCTGCTGTATAAGGCTATGACTCTGAGTCAATGTCTTGGATTTTCCCCATCTCTGGCTTAAATATGCAAACCCTTATTTTTAAACAGTAGCATCTATTTCTATTCACCCTGTATGACCTCTATTACTCTTCTAAATTCCAACAGAGAGCCTGTCTAACCTTTCCTCATGAGCCAACCCATCCATTCTAGTCTGGTAAACCTTCTCTGAACTATTTCCATGGCATGTATAAACCTGTCCAGTTCACTTCCTTTGGAGAAGTAAATCTGCCATCTGTTTTGGTTGCCCTATTGTCCAAACACATAGCAATGTGGTTGACTCTTAACTGCTGTGTGAAATGGCCAAGCAAGCCTCTCAGATTGAGAGCAGTTATCAGCGACAACAACATCCCATAAAAGGAAAAGTTGGAAGGTAATTTACAAGCATGGCCCCAGGAATGAGAAACTTCAGTTATGAATTGAATTGAATTTGCTTTATTCAAGTGTACTCAAGTGAGTGCAGTGAAAAGTTTACAAGTCACCACTGATGGCACCATCTTAGGTACGAGCTACCCAGGTACAGATTCTTCAGTACAAGTTCTTAGGGAAAAAAATTAAAATATAGGAATAGAAAGGCCAACATTACAGATTGTAGGAATAAATTGGTAAATAGAGCAATGAAAAGTTCAGAATAACAGTCCTTCCAACCCAGTCCATTGCTGGCACCCAGCCTCCAGTCCACACTGGATCTTTACTCCAGACCACGCTGGAGTTCACCTTGATCTCTCAAGGCAGAGAGACCACTCTGGAATCACCTCAAGGCTGGATGTCCACGTTGAGGCCATGCCGGGCTGAAAGACCGCCATGGGCCACCGGGAGACAACGACACCGGGCCAGGACACTGCCACGTCGGGCCAGGAGACTACCACACCAGAATGGGAGGCCACTACACTGGGCTGAGAGGTCGCCACGCTGTGAGACTGCCTCATTAGGTCCACGGATAGATTGAAGAAGTTGAGATGGTTCTCCTTGGAGAGAAGAAGGCTGAGAGGGGTTTTGAAAGAGGTTATCAAAATCATGAGTGGGCTGGACAGAGCAGATAGGGAGAAACTGTCCCCACTCGTAAAAGAGAAAAGAATAAGAGTGCATAGATTTAAAGTGATGTGTGAGCAAAACAAGAGTGATGTGAGAAAAAGAACCTTTTCACTCAGTGAGGACTTAGGGTGTGGAATGCGCAGCCTGGAAGTATGATGGAGGCAGGTTCAAAGATCAATGGATGATTAGCTGAGAGAAATAGTGTGCAAGGATATGGGGGTAAAAGCAGAAGATTGGCAGAAGATAATGATGTTTGTTTTATTCACTTGTGGAGCATAGGCATTACTGGCTGGCCAGCATTTATTACCATCCCAAGTTGACCTTGAGAAGGCGGTGGTGAGCTGCCTTCTTAAGAAAAGCTGCAGGCACAATGGGCTGAATGGCCCCTTTCTACTCCATAACAATTCTGTGATTCTCTAATTGGAGACTCCGGTCACAAGGTGATCATGCCGAGCAAGTTTCAGATGTTTCTTGTAAAAATCTACAATACCATTGACAGTTTAATGGTATCACAGACTCCAAAGAATGCCACTGAGCTCATCATACTCGTGAATAATGGAATTTCATTCCCAAGCTTCCCTTGTAGCTCTGTGTGCTTTTCTTTTCAAGTATTTATCCAATTTCTTTTGAACTTTGCTGTTGATTCAACTTCTAGGAAGTACATTCCAGACTTTAATAACTCATGTTGCTTAAGACATTTCTCTTCATTTTGTCTCTGGCTCGCCTGTTAATTATCTTAAATCCCCTAATACCATCTAGTAACTGACCCTCTTGCCAATGGAAACAGCTTATTTGTGAATCTAAACCCATCATCATTTCGAATGCGTCCCTTAAGCTCTTCATTGCATCTGATGTTCCTGGCGTCATATATAATTAACTAGGAATCAGCAGAGAAATTCATCTGGTCTGTGTTGATGTCTGTGTTTTCATGTCCTTCCTCCATTTGATCTCAGCCCATCAGCGTACCCTGCTGTACCCTCCCTGACACATTTATTGAACATGCTGTTAAACGCATCTAACTTTTTTTTTCATCCAGTTGTGGGACATGGGCATTGCTGGCTGGGCCAGCACTGCTTGCCTGTCCCTAGATGCCCATGAGAAGGTGGCAGTGAGCTGCTGTCTTGAAACACTGCAGTTCATCTGCTCTGGATAGACCCACAAAGCCGTTAGGGAGTGAGTTTGAGGATTTTCAGCCAGCGACACTGAGAAACGGTGATACATTTCCAAGTCAGGATGATGTGTGGCTTGGCGGGCACTTGCAGGTGATGGCAAGATTTCTGAAGAAGGGTCTAGGCCCGAAACATCAGCCTTCCTGCTCCTCTGATGCTGCTTGGCCTGCTGTGTTCATCCAGCTCTACACCTTGTTATCTCAGATTCTCCAGCATCTGCAGTTCCTACTAACCCTGCATTATTAGTTGTATTTTTACTGATCTTAATCCAGCTCCCTGACACTGTTACTCAATAACCTGTCTCCCCCCCACTAGCACTCTGCGTTATTGACTGTATTTCTGCTGATGATGTTAATCCAGCTCCCTCACTCTGTCACTCAATAAACCCTCATCCCTAGCGCCCTGTGTTACTGACTGTATCTCTCCTGATGTTAATCCAGCTCCCTCACTCTATTACTTAGTATCCCCTGTCCCAATGCACCCTGTGTTATTCACTGTATCACTGTTGATGATATTAATCCATCTCCCTCAAGTAGTCAGAGATAGTAGGAACTGTAGTCACTCAGTAGCCCCTCTCCCCAGCACCCTGTGTTACAAACTGTATCTCTGTTGGTATTAATCCAACTCCCTCAGACAGTCCCTCTGCCTAATCAACTCAGTGCCTTGCTATGGTGCCTGAACTTCTTCATAGGCCAGTCTGCTCTCATTGTCAGAGCGACAATGCTCTTAATGACTTGTGTAGTGTTCTGTAGCCCTTGACATGCAACTAATTGTATTTTAAAGTCTGTGTTTAAAAGTACATTCGAGGATTTAACTCCGAACCTTGTTAATCACTGCAGTACCCCAGCCCAGAAACTCCTAATTTCCTTGGGATGAAATTTAGATACGATGGAGGAAGAGGAAATGGGGGATTTGGAAAGGAACTGTTGTCAAGCAGTCATTCTGATGCCCCCTCCACCTCCCTGTCCCTTTGGCGATCCTTTCCCCCTGGTGTAGCAGAGCTCCAAGATTAACTGGTGGTTTTGTCTGAGGTGACTGCCTTCATTTGTGGTTTATCTCTCTCTCTCTCTCTCTCTCTCTCTCAGGTTCATGGGTGGAACTGAACTATAACCAGCACAGCAGCCCCAGGGTCTTGGAGCACATCCCCTCATCAAGTTCCATCCACAATGGTGACATGGAGAAGATCCTGCTGGATGCACAGAATGAAACGGAAAAGAACAGTTCACGAGGCAGCTCCCACTGTGACAGGTGATCCTGGCCCATTCTGCCCCCCCCCCCCCGACCTTGGTGCTCCCTGCTGGGATGAAGTGTCAATGTATCATTCTTTCAGTGATTGGACCCGAAAAATAAATAATAGGTCAACATAAAATGAAAACAGTTTTCTAGGAACGGGAATCGGCCCTTAGAACCTGTGCCCTTCCCTTCTTTGAGATCATTGTTCAGCAACCTCCATGGGCTGGGTGTTATGTCCCAGTCTTTCTGGAGGCATGTATGAAGGTGAGAGGCAAGTCAAGAACAGAGGGTGGTCTTCCCACTGCCTTCTGCCTCACTTCTGACCAGTCTCCCATTTTACAATAGATGGGGAGGGCAGTTTGTTGGTCCTTAGGCCTGTTCAGGCCAGGAGGTGACTAAATTGACTTCAGTTAGGCCACATTTGGAATAATGCATACAGTTCTGGAGGCCACGCTACCAGAAGGATGTGGAGGTTTTGAAGAGGGTACGGAAAAGGTTTTACCCAGATGTTGCCTGGTTTGGAGGGTATTAGCTATGAGGAGAGATTGCACAAACTTGGTTTGTTCTCACTTGATGTTGGAGGCTGAGGAGCGACCTGATAGAAGTTTACAAAATTATAAGCAGCATAGATAGAATGGATAGTCGCAGTATTCTTCCCAGGGTGGAAATGTCAATTACTAGGGCACATAGGTTCGAGGTAAAAGGGGGTAAGTTTAAAGGAGATGTGAGAAGCAGGTTTTTTGCACAGAGTGTAGTAAGTGCCTGGAATGCGCTGCCAGAGGAGCTGGTGGAGACAGATACAGTAGCAACATTTAAGACAGACACATAATAGGCAGGCCTCAGAGGGATACGGACCGTATAGAGGTTAAAGTTTTTAGTTTAGAAAGGCATCATGTGTGGGCGCAGGCTTGGTGGACCGAAGAGCCTGTTCCTGAGCTGAACTGTTCTTTGTTCTTTAATGGCCACTTGAGAGTCTCATTCAGCCTGTGACAGTGCTTCATGTGGCCAGGGGAAGGCAGAGGCAGAGCGGACATAGCCCGGCAGTTTCTTCTTCATTTTTTTTTCATGGAGCATGGGTGTCACTGCCAGCATTTTTCTGCCCTCTAACTGTGTGGCTTGCTTGGGGTTGGAGTGTCACAGGTAAGCCCTTAAGAGTGATACCACTCGATAAGCTGATAATAGAACAATAGCCCACAATGTTAAAGGCGTTTCCTTACCATGAATTTGTTACCATTATGGGGAGGCGATGGCCTAGTGGTATTATCGCTGGACTGTTAATCCAGAGACCCAGATAACGTCCTGGGGACCTGGGTTCGAATCCCACCACGGCAGATGGTGGAATTTGAATTCAATAAATATCTGGAATTAAGAGTCTAATGATGACTGTGAATCCATTGCCAATTGTTGGGAAAAACCCATCTGGTTCACCATTGTCCTTCAGGGAAGGAAAGTGCCATCCTTACCTGGTCTGGCCTACATGTGACTCCAGACCCACAGCAACGTGGTTGATTCTTAACCACGCTCTGGGCAATTAGGGATGGGCCATGAATACTACCTAGCCAGTGCTGAATGAATAAAGAATAGAGGATTAGGTAACAAATAGGAGACAGAGAGTTGGAATGAGGACATTTTCAAGATGGCAATCTGTAACTAGTTGATTGCCACAGAGAGTCAGTGCAAGGGCCACCATTGCTTACAAAGATAGAGTTTTAGAGTTGTACAACACAGAAACAGACCCTTTGGTCCAACTCGTTCATGCTGGCCAGATATCCTAAATTAATCTAGTCCCATTTGCCAGCATTTGGCCCATATCCCTCTAAACGCTTCCTATTTATATACCTATCCAGATGCCATTTTAAATGTTGTAATTGTACCAGCCTCTACCACTTCCTCTGGCAGCTCATTCCATTCACGCACCACCCTCTGCGTGAAAATGTTGTCCCTTAGGTCCCTTTTATATGTTTCCACTCTCACCTTAAACCAGTTTTAAACACTCCAGTTTTGGACTCCCCTACCAGGGGAAAAATACCTTGGCTATTCATCCTCTCCATGCCCCTCATGATTTTATAAATCTCTATAAGGTCACCCTTCAGCCTCTGACACTCCAGGGAAAATAGCCCCAGCGTTTTCAGCCCCTCCCTATAGTTCAGACCCTCCAACCCTGGCAACATCTTTATAAATCTTTTCTGCACCCTTTCAAGTTTAACAACATTTTTCATGTGGCAGGAAGACCAGAATTGAATGCAGTATTCCAAAAGTGCCCTCACCATGTCCTGTACATAACATCCCAACTCCTGTACTCAATGCACTGACCAATAAAATACCTGTGACTTCGCTTTCAAGGAACTGTTCTGTCAATCCATGAACAGTTAAGTTCTGACGTTCATATTGTTACGGTAGTGGTGAGCTGCCGCCTTGAATGTTGCAGTCCATATGCTGTATGTAGACCCACAATGATGTTAAGGCAGGAATTCTCGGATTTTGACCCAACGGCAGTGGAGGAACAGCAATATATTTCTGAGTCAGGATGCTGTGTGACTTGGAGGGGAATTTGCAGGTGATGGTGTTCCCGTGTACCTCCTGCGCTTGTCCATCTAGATTGAAGTGGTCACGGGTTTGTGTCAGGATCTTCGGCAAATTTTTGCACTGGATCTTGTAGATAGCACGCACTACTGCTACTGAGCATCGGTGATGGAGGGAGTGGATGCTTATGGATGTAGCGCCAATCAAGTGAGCTGCTTTGTCCTGGATGGTGTCAAGCTTCTTGAGTGTTGTTAGAGTTGCATCCATCTAGACCAGTGGGAAGTATTCCATCACACTCCTGACTTGTGCCTTGTAGATGGTGGACAGGCTTTGGAGAGTCAGGCGCTAAGTCTATTGCTGCAGGTTTCTTAGCCCCTGACCTGCTGTCCCTACAGTGTGGAAACAGGCTAATCAGCCCAATAATTCCATACCACCCCCTCCAAAAAGCATCCCACCCAGACCCATCCCCATCCCCCTACCCTATCCCTGTAACCCTGCATTTCTCATGACTAATCCACCCAAATTTACACATCCCTGGACATTACAGGCAATCTAGCATAGCCAATCTACCTAACCAATGCATCGTTGGACTGTGGTGGTGGGTGGGGGTGGGGATGGGGGGAGTGATGCAGAGACACGGCAGAATCCAACACAGACATGGGGAGAATGTGCAAACTCCACACAGACAGTCACCCGAGGGTGGAATCAAACCTGGGCCCCTGGTGCTGTGAGGCAGCAGTGCTAACCACTGAGCCACTGTGCTCTTGTAGTCACTGTATTTGTGTGGTTAGTCCAGTTCAGTTTCTAGAATAATTTTACTGTGCTGTTACCTCCCCTGAGGTACTGTCATAAACGTATTGTCCCTCAGCTAGTAATTCAGAGACTCAGCGTAATGATAAATTTGTAATTAAAATATCTGTATACTTTGGAAGTTGTTCTTCATGGAAACATGCTTTTGATATCAGCATTGACCTACTTTTTGGGGAGACAGTTCCAAATTTTCCACTTGCATTTGTGAGAAAAAGTGCTTCCTGATGTTACTCCTAAATAGTGTGAGACTTTTAAATGGCGGAGTGGGATCTCACCACTCTAAGACCCCGTAGATCAAAGGCACAAAGTAAGCTGCAGATCCAATCTCCACTTTGTGGGGAAAATCTTTAATGACTCCCTAAGAACTGGCATATACTCACAACAGTGGTTTCTTAATGAGGCCCATCACTCACAAAGCTGTCCACTTGGTGCTCACTCTGTCAATGATATCTCCATAATTCCTATTTTCCCATGACTGACCACTTCACTCTTCCTGTCTGCAGCAGCAATGTATTGAGGATGGTGGCTTTATACTACCTTCTCACCCTGCTCTCTGCAGGGGCATTTATCCAGGTGTATGTCAGCAATGGGTATGATAGCTACACTTTGGCAAGGCAGGAGGTATGTGCATGTGTGGTATCTGCTTCACTAATGTTCTTTAGGGAAGGAAATCTGCCATCCTTTCCTGGTCTGGCCTACATGTGACTCGACCCACAGCAATGTGGTTGACAGTAAATGCCCTTTGGGCAATTGGGGATGGGCAATACATGTTGGCCTAGCCAGCGTCACCCTGTGTAATGATTGTAAGGAGGTCAGCCAGGTGGACCTCATTGATTATGATTTCCCTGATTGGGGCTGTTAATCTGGGACAATCAGGGAGCCCTGGCTGACAGATATAAACAGAAGTGTCAGAGGTTCTGTTCACCCTGAGAGCTGGCTCTGACGGAGTTGGATCAGTGTCAGACGCTCCTTGTGTAAATAAAGAGTGACTTTGTAATGGGATACCGGCCTGTGCGGAGTAATATCAGCCCACGTCCTATGAATGAATGAAAAGAAATAGGAAAGTTCCTTCCCTTGCCTGATTTTGAGCTCGGGTTGTTGGCGGACCTCCTCATAACTAGTCACATTTTAACACAAGTATAAATGCAATATATATTTTGAAAAACACAAGGAAAGGCCTTAGTATGACAAAAATTTACAAAATCTCAGAGTTGCCTGTTCTAGTAGTACACAAGTACATAATAGTACCTAGCTCTGATATTTAAATCCTCTTTTTGAACTCACTCCACCAGCACTTCTTCTAAAACATAAACGGAAATTGCTGGAAAAACTCAGCAAATCTGGGGTAGAAAGCAGACATAACATTTTCAGTCTAGTGACTCTTCATCAGAATTGGTTCTGAACCTTTCTTCTTATTGAAATCTTTTTTCCCCCCTTTTATTCATTAACTGGGTGAAGGCATTGCTGGCCTGGCAGTATTTAATTGCCCATCCCTAATTGCCTGGAGTTACATGTAGGTCAGACCAGGTAAGGATGGCAGTTTCCTTCCCTAAGGGACATTAGTGAACCAGATGGGTTTTTCCCAACAATCAACAATGGATTCATGGTCATCATCAGATTCTTAATTCTGGATATTTATTGAATTCAAATTCCACCATCTTCCATGGCAGGATTCGAACCCAGGTTCCCAGAACGTTGTCTGGGTCTCTGGATTAACAGTCCGGTGATAACACCACTAGGCCATTGCCTCCCCAGCAGGTGGTTTAAAATTATAAATCTACTCCTGCTCTTCTGAATTCCAGAGAATGTATACCAGCCCAACTGTGCATCCTCCCTTCTTAATTTAATCTTTTAACCCCCAGTGAGTCCATCCTGGGATGCAGTGAATGGGACAGAAAAATCCAAAGTGGCGAGTTGGGGCCTGGGTTGGAGGAGGGAGCTGGATAGTGTCTGAGTCAGCACTCCGCAGATGCTGGAACTGGTCCTGCATGAGTGAATTAAGCAGACAATGTGTCGGATTGCTGGCTCACTAAAACCCACAAAGTCAATAAAACCAACCAAGTGATTGCAACACCATTTGACAGCATCCTCCCTTTACAGATCGAGTCCCAGCTTGTTCTGTAGCCTGGCCTTCTCCACCCTCTGTCAAAAGAGGAATTAGTTTCATGACATTCTGCCTTGCCAAGAGAGACAAAAAATTAAAGTTGCTGATTTCGTCAACTCTACAAAGTGACTGTTGCACTGACAGCTTTCAGAACTATTAAAGGCACAGTCCCATTGTGACTTGAGATACTTATGTTTATTTTCCCCTTGTTGGGGAATTGACCAGAGATGACTGCACTCTAGATCCAGGAGACTGATTTTTAACAGCCCTTTACCCATCTTAGCCATTAACAGGAACATGTCCTGTTCTTGAAAGGACAATTTTGTTTGAAGTAGAATCCCTACAGTATGGAAGCAGCCAGTCAGACAGACAGAGAGAGAGAGAGACAATTGGTGGTGAGTTTTGCCCAAGGGTAACCACACCTTAGGTAATTGGAGATGTTGAGAATACCAGACTTGTGTGGCCACCTTAGCCAGTGTGGATTGCAACCTCATTAGAACTGACAGCACAGAACCGGGCTGTTCAGTCCATTTGTCACATGTTATTGCTGATGCTTCACATAATTTATTCTTAACCTCCCCCTGTCAACATATCCTTCATTCCTTCTTCGTGATTTTTATCCAACTTTCCCTTAAATGCATATTCACTTCATGCACTGAGAGTTCCAGTTACTCACCACTCTTTTGGTAATACAGTTGTTTCAAAATTCCCAATTAGATTTACTTACAGGGGCTATTTTATACTTACGCAGCTAGTCTTGCACTCAGTGGAAATATCTTATTAATACCTGCCTGATCAAAAACATTTAAAATAGGCAGTACAGTGGCTCAGTAGTTAGCCCTGCTGCCTCACAGCACCAGGGAACCGGGTTTGATTCCAGCCTGGAATGAATGTCTATGTGGAGTCTGTGCATTCTCCCCGTGTCTACATAGGCTCCTTCTGAGTGCTCCAGTTTCCTCCCACACTCCAAAGGTATGCAAGTTAGGTGGATTGATCATGATAAATTACACATAGTGCCCATGGATGTGCAGTCTAGGTGGATTAGCCGTGAGAATTGTGGCATTATAGTGTAGAGGTGTGGGTCTAGATGCAGTGCTTTTCAGAGGGTCAGTGTGGACTAAATGGGCCGAATGGTCTGTTTCCACACTGTGGAGATTCTGTGATTCTATGACATTATCTGATGTTGGTAGTTAAATAGCGTACTCTGAATTGGATTTTCAAGTTGAAATAAACTCTAATTGAAATAAGGGAGTATCTGTAAATGTCTGATTGTTACAAAAAGGGATCTTTAGCTTGACCGTTCTTCTCCAACACATTAACACTGACTTACAGATCATTAATGTCCTTCAACAGTCCAGTCTCTGGAATATGGGAATAGGAGTTAGCCATTTAGCCCTTATTCTTCAATGCAGTTGTGGCTTCATAGAATCACAGAATTGTTACAATGCAGAAGGAGGCCATTCAGCCTATCATCCCTGCCCCAGCTCTATTACCTAGTGCCAATCTCCCGTCTTTCGCCCATATCCCTGCACATCATTTTGATCCAGATAATCATCCAATTCCCCTCTTGAATGCCTCAATTTAACCTACCATGTTTCCAGGCAGTGCATTCTATGCTCTAACTACTCACCGTGTGAAAAAGCTTTGTCTCACATCACCCTTCCTTCATTTGCACTTCACTTTCCAGCAAGGCCCTCTCTTTCTCGGTTCGTTAATGACTAAGAACAATTATGCTTATCTCCATCATTGCTTCAAGCACCCGTTGAGGTCCTATAGCCCTTCTCACCCTTAAACAAACAATCCATTAGTTAGAAAAACCCCAAAGAACAGTGGATGCTATAAAGCAGAAACAAAATCAGAAACAGTTGGTGAAACTCAGCAGGTCTGGCCGCATCTGTGCAGAGAAAGCAGAGTTAGCATTTTGGATCCGGTGACACTTCTCCAGAACAGTTTATTAGTCTCGATTTCTAGGGCTTAAATTGTCCCAACATCCACAGCTTCATTGGAAGTGGGAGGGAGGGCAGATGCCCAACATGCGTTCCTGAGATCCACTGCTGAAAGGCCTAGCTGTAATTATACCACTTCATTCCAGACCCTACCACCACCAGGAAAGCGTGTTTCTGTCTGTATACCCTATCAATTCCTTCAAGCATCTGAGTACATCACGATGAGAGCGCTGCTTAAACTTCTAAACTGTAGGGAATATAGACTAGAAATGATACCTGTCCTCATAATTTAACCCTTATAGCCTGTAATATAATAACCAATTGGGTGCCAGTTAGCTCAGTTGGCTGGAAGGCTGGTTTGTGATACCGACAGTGTGGCTTCAATTCCCACACTATCTGAGGTTACCATGAAGGACTCTCCTTTTCAGCTTCACCCCTGCCTGAGGCATGGTGACCCTTAGGTTAAATCACTGCCAGTTGTCTCTTTCTCTGTCTCTAATGAGAGAGCAACGCTGTAGTCTGGTAGGACTACGGCAACTTTACCTTTCTAATAACTAATGTAGGAACACTATGGAGCAGGAGCTGGCCATTTGACTCTTCATGCTCAGTCTACCATTCAAAAAGTCCATGGCTGATCTGACCTTTGCCTGAACTAAACATCCCTGCCTACCCCTGAGAACCATTGACTCCCTCACCAGTCGCGAATCTATCTACCTCTTATACATTTTAATGACCTTACCTCCACCATTCGCTGGGGAAGAAAGTGCCAAAGACTCAAGGCCCCCAGAGAAAGAAAAACTCTCCTCAACTCCAGCTTAAACAGACCTGTTCTATTTAACATGTGAGCCCTAGTTCTAATCTTCTGCTGAAGACATCTTTCTGCCAGGATGAGTGGAATGTTGTGATTATCCATTGCTGTACCCGGGTACTCACTCAACCAGCAAGAGGGGACCAAGTGAGGAGAGAAGGATGGCCATATTGACGGCCTGTGGTGTTCTGATGCCATCTGACAGAATGAAAATGAAGCCTTGAGTCCATTCCATGTTACAGAGTGTTGTTTACCATGTATTTCAGCCCTCCATTACTGATGAGCCCCCAGACGTCTCACATTCCCACCGAGTTTGAGACTGGAAGCGTCGGAGATACCAACAGTACTCAGGTATGTGAGGACTCAACAAGGAGAGGGATGTCGCTCATGGCTAATTCCCATCACACTAGGGTGACTCTGAAGTAACAATGTTTCTGTATCGTTATTGACTGTCCCATTTTGAAGAATGAACTTAATTGCTCCCAATGGAGGATCTGTGCTGGCCAGAGAATGAGAAACGTCTGTTCTGGTCTGGATGGGAAAGTAGGGATACTGAACTAGTAAATGACCATTTTTAATACAATGTGATGATGGTCCTCCCTTGAGTTTGGTCAACAAATTCCCTGATTATATAGAGACATACAGATTGAAACAGGCCCTTTGGCTCAACTCATCCATGCCCACCAGGTTTCCTAAACTGCACTAGTCCCATTAGCTTGCATTTGGCCCATATTCCTCTAAATCTTTCCTGTCCATGTACCTGCCTCAATGTCTTTTAAATGTTTTCATTGTACCTGCCTCTATCACTTCCTTTGTTGGCTCGTATAAGCTAAAGGAAACCCCAGCTCTGTGGGGAAGAAGTTCCAGAACTTGACTGGGAGATTTTAAATGCTATTGCGTTGGGATGTCTTAGATGCCAGATGAGAGGGGAAAGATATAAAAGGGACCTAAGGGACAACTTTTCATGCACAGGGTAGTGTGTGTATGGAATGAGCTTCCAGAGGAAGTGGTGGAGGCTGGTACAATTACACCATTTAAAAGGCATTTGGATGGGTATATGAATAGGAAGGGTTTAGAGGGATATGCGACAAATGCTGGAAAATGGAACTAGGTTAATTTAGGATATCTGGTCGGCATGGAAGAGTTGGATCGAAGGGTCTGTTTCTGCGCTAGACAACTTGTTGACCAAAGTAGGAATTTGTTCGTTCAGCATCAAAATTATGGCAGGTACTAGCCGTAGGGCTGTGACTCAATGGGAAGTGGTTTTTCTCTTTGGTTTGTCCCTTTTCAATTATTCTTTCCCCTCTGTTTTTCTTTGTCTTTGTTCCTCCATTGTTTACCTGTTTGTTTTTCTCCCCTTGGCATTCATTCCCATTTGCAATCTGCACACATCCTCTTACCACACCATTACCTGCCCCAGATTGGTGGACAGAAAGTGGCTGCTCGAGTCATCTAGGAATGTGTGCAATCTGTTGTTTATTTTTCCAAATATTGTAGAGTATCTCCACAGTTGTTTCAATCTCTTTGTTTTATTTTGCTTTTCCATCGGAACTTCAAATCTGACCATCTGGAAAATCTCAGGATATTCCTTCCCGTGATCATACTTTCACTAGGAATGCATTGGATTAAGGTTGACCTCTTCCTGTGGTGATCAGTCCTGTCATTGCGTCTTTTCGCAGTCTGATGAAGAGAGCCAGGAGAGGAATGGAGAGATTGAGAAATTACTGAGGAACAATGCGGAGTGGATCTGGTACTGGTCCAGTCGACCAGAAAATGTACCTCCAAAGTGAGTGGCAATTCTGTACATTTTTCTTATTCACTTGTGGGATATAGGCATCACTGCCAGGGCCAGCATTTATTGCCTAGCCCTGTCTGCCCTTTGGGTGCTGATGATGAGCTGCTTTCTTGAAACGCTACAGTCTATGAGCTGTAGATAGACCCACCATATTGTTTCACCCAGCAACACTGGCAATAATGAATGGCTTGGAGGGGAACTTGCAGCTGGTGGTGTTCCCATGTATCTGCTGCCCTTGTCCTTCTAGTTGGCAGTGGAAGGGGGCTTGGAAGGTGCTGTCTCAGGAGCTTTGGTGAATTTCTCTTACTGCTGTGTTCTTAGATGCGGTAATCCTGTGGTTACAGCACAACGCCCCGGGCGACTGTCTGTGTGGAGTTTGCACGTTTCCCCCCCCCCCCCCGTCTGCGCGGGTTTCCTCCAGGTGCTCTGCTTACCTCCTACAGTCCAAAGGTGTGCAGGCTAGGTGGATTGGCCATGCTAAATTGCCCATGGTGTCCAGGGATGTGAAGATTAGGCAGGTTACAGGGAAAAGGGGTAGGGGAATGGGTCTGGGTGGGATGCCCTTCAGAGGGTTGGTGTGGACTTGTAGGGCTGAAGGACCTATTTCCACACTGTAGGGATTCTATGAGAACTGGAAGGGCCTGAGGTCCAAATCACACCAGGTTAAACTGTGAAATTCAATTCACTAAATTTGTGAACCCCTTGGCTGGTATCTGAATAGAAATGAGGAAGAAGCTGGTGAACTTTTAAACGATTCTTGGATAGGCACATGGAGGATAGTAAAACGTAGGGGATGCCAGGGTAGTTTGATCTTAGTAGGATAATCAGGCAGAACAACATTGTGGGCCGAAGGGCCTGCGCTGTGCTGTACTGTTCTATGTTCTATGTCTTAAAACTCTACTGGTTAACAAATGTCGTTTGATAAAGGCAGTCTGCCAACCCTTTGATCTTAACTCCAGTCTCTAGGGTCACTATATGAAACAGGAGTTGTAGTAGGTCATTTCATCTCTTGAGCCATTTCCACCATTCATTAAAATCATGGCTGATCTTCTAATTCAACTCCACTTCCGCCTGCTACTCCCATAATCCTTAATTGAAGAGTAATCCAGAAGCTCAGGCTAGTACTCTGGGCCGTAGGATCAAATCTTACCACAGCAGATGGTGATATTTAAATTCAATTAATACATTCTGTAATTAGATGCCAGTCTTAATAATGGCAACTATAAAGCTATCATTTGCCAGGCGGCACGGTGGCTCAGTGGTTAGCACTGCTGCCTCACAGCACCAGGGACCCAGGTTCAATTCTACCCTTGGGTGACTGTCTGTGTGGAGTTTGCACATTCTCCCTGTGTCTGTGTGGGTTTCCTTTGTGAGCTCTGATTTCCTCCCACAGTCCAAAGATGTGCAGTATAAGTGGAATGGCCAAGCTAAAATGGCCTATGGTGTGCAAGCTAAATGAGCTACCTATGGGAGTAGTGCAGAGTTACAGCGTTGGGGTGGGTTTCAGTGGGGTGCTGTTTGGAGGGTCACTGTGGACTTGATGGGCCAAATGGCCTGCTCCCACACTATAGGGACTGTTTATTGTTGTAGAATCTCATCTGGTTCACGAATGTCCTGCAGGGGAGGAATTTGCCATCCTTACCTGGTCTGGCCTTCATGTGACTCCAGACCTACAGCAACGTAGTTGGCTCTTTACTGCTCTTTGGGCAGTTAGGGATGGGCAATAAATGCTGACCTTGTCACCAAAGTCAAGTCATTTTTTAAAAATCCCCAAGTAACCGCAGATCTACCATTCTCCATCTTGACTCTGCTCAATGTCTGAGTGCCTGCAGAAATATAAATCAAGAAACAGGAGCAGGAGTAGACCATTCAGCCCATTAAACCTGCATCACCATTTAACTAGATCATGTCTGAGCTCTTTACCTCAGTGCCATTTTTCCACATTATTCCCGTACCCCTCGAAGTCATTAACATTCGAAAACCTATCAATTATTCTCTGGGGTAGAGAATTCAAAATGGCCAACCTCTTATTCTGAGATGGTGACCCCATTCCCCAGCCATTGGAACCAATCTCTACTCAGCTACCTTGTTACTTTTGTCCAGGATCAGAAGTTGGCCATTCAACTAATGAGCCTGAAGCAAGACTGCTCAGAAACCAATGGGCCAGTTCGAATGTAAGGAGAACTCTCAGTGGCCCCAATGGATGATCATTTGGTTATGATCAAGTTGCACTGCTATTCTGCCAGAAATTACTTAATGCAGAACAAACCAATGAGCGCTTCATCAAAAAGATAACGTTGTTGAGGCTCAGGGTGAGTACATTTTCTAAGCTGTGCGTTGACTGGATGGAAGTGACAAGTGGTTCTTGTTATATTTTTGCTGCTCTTAGGGAATTTGCCTTCAAGCATCCAAAATATTGTTCGAGCCTGAGTGTACGGAAGACAGGCGTGATGAAGAAAGGAGGGATCTTCAGTTCCGAGTTTGTAATGTTCCTCCTCCCATCTCTCCTGATCACTCACCTGTTAACGCTGGGAGTGGGGTACGTCCATGATTAATGTCGACATTATCTTGCACTCCTATCGCACGTAGCACTTACATAAAAGCCAGGTCTTGTGACGCAGTTTGTAAAGTCCCAACCTCTCGACCAGAAGGCTATTATTAAGCTGGAGAGGGTTCCGGAGAGATCTACCAGGATGTTGCCAGGTATGCGAGGTTTGAGTTATAAAGAAAGGCTGGATGGGCTGGGATGTGTTTCACTGCAGCGTAGGAGGTTGAGAGTCAACCTTATAGAGGTTTATAAAGTAATGAGAGGTTTAGTTAATGGTAGATATCTTTTCCCTAGGATGGGGGATTTCAAGACTAGAGGGTACATTTTTAAGTTGAGAGGACGGAGTTTCAAAAAAGACATGAGGGGCAAACTTGATACACAGATGATGATTTGTGTGGAATGAACTTCCTGAGGAAGTGGTGGATGCGGGCACAATTGCAACATTTAAAAGATATTTGGATAATACATGAATAGGAAAGGGTTAGAGGGATGAGGGCCAGGAACAGGTAGGTGGGTTTAGTTTAATTTGAGATTATGTTCAGCATGAACTGGTTGGGCCGAAGGGTCTGTTTCCGTGCTGTACGACTCAATGACTGTGTGAGTCCGGGGTCAAGTTCGACCTCAGAACTTGGTTTGCATGGAGGGGCAGGTGCAGGTGTCTTAAAGTAGCTGAACAGTTTGATTCTCAATCTGTAAATCCTTCCGAAAGGCCTTGAGCTGGTCAAAAGAACTGGAGCATTCCCCAGTCAGCCAGAACTGTGACAATGCAACAGCGTCTCCGTGTTAGAAGACTCCTCACACAGGTTTCTGTCATGAACAAGTATAACCCTTGTTCCAAAAGGCTGTCACATACACGGATACACACACACACACACTTATATGTATGCATACACACACACACAAACACACCAAGCACTCAACACACACACATACCCGTATACATGCAAACATATTTTTACAGACTGCTACCATTTGATCATTTCATTACACAGTCTCAGGAATTTGAACCCACCGTTGTTAGTCTTGACAAATTGTTGTATTGAATCTGTAACACAGAAACAAGTCATGCAGTCTCACTGATCAATGCACACATTTACGCTCCATGTGAACCTCATCTCAACCTCTCAGCATTTGTTTCTGTTATTTTCTCCTTCTTGTGCTTGTCTAGCCTTCCCTCAAATCAGAACATCAGCCTGAGGAGCAGAAGTAGACCATTCAGCCCATCAAGTCTGCTCCACCGTTCAATGAGATCATGGCTGATCTGATCATCCTCACATCCTGCCGTTTCCCCAAAACCCTTGATTCTCTTACTGATGAACGATCTATCTCAACCTTGAATAGACTTAAAGACTCAGCCTTGACAGCTGTCTGCAGTAAGGAATTCCACAGATTCACTACCCTCTGAGAAGAAATTCTCCTCTATCTTGAATGTGCGACCCCTTATTCTGAAATTGTGTCCTCTACCATGTAGCTGTGCTATTTACTTCACTCCTGTGGGCTGGCCTCTTCAGGTGCCTACCTCTGTGTGGGGGAAAAGGGGCTCATTTTTCCTGAAATGCCCCTTGAATGTATTGGTGCCAACTTTATACATATGGTCCCCAGGGTGTTCCATTGATTACATTTGGAGACATGTTCAGGAATTGTACGAAGAGGGAAATTTTTCATTGCCCCACCCCTCGCAACTCCCCACCCTTCCCGTCCAGGATGTCGCCCACGAGAAAGCCGACTGTGCCGTTTAATGCGTGGGGTGGTTTTAAATGACCCAGGGTGACCCACAGTTGGCAGTGGGAAATCCCCTGACGCTGTTTGATTCTGTTCTGTGTGTCCTGCTGTAGAATATACATCGGCAAGCGATTGGCTGCGTCGTCGGCGAGTACCTTATAAAAAAAACCTCCAGGAAGATTGGATCGCGCCCGATAAATGGCGGAGGTTTGACATCGAACTCCTCACTCGTCCCTCGGTTCAACGGATATCGGCAGCAGCTGTGATGGAAGTTACAGTGATTCGAAGCGTTTTCTCAGTTACCCCGTTTCGACCCACTGTGACTTCTTGTTTGTTCCCTCCTCCCCTGTAATTGTCCTCATTGTGTACAAGCTATCCTCAGCAGCGCGGGTAGTTGGCTTTAGACTGCGCTGCTGTTCCTCAGCTCTTGCTGGTGCAGGCGGAATCTATCTTAGTAACACGTGTCTTGCACTCGGACCGTCTGCCGCAGGATTTGTGTAGAGCCTGTGTGCGCGCCTGTGCACCCAGGTGAACATATGGCCATGTGTGTGCACTTCCCTCCTGTATCCAAGTCCTGGAAAACCTGTTTCCCCAGACCCTGAGTCATTTTATCCGAGAGTTACAAATGTCAGTTGGTCCCTCTCCACGTCAACACCAACGCATCTTGACAATGCCTCTGTTTGCCTTGCACTGCCAAGAAAAAGAAATCAGCTTCACTTTCACCACAGCTCAGTATTCCAGAATGTCAGCCGACTTGTTTGGAAATCCATGATGCTGTCACGGTAGCGGCTAGGAAAGCAGGTTAATGATTATACATTTCTTTTTAAAAAAAAACAAAAATGCGACAAAAAGCAGTTTCAAGGGCAATTGGGGATGAGCAATAAATGCTGTTGCAGTCCTGCAACCGAATAGAAGTTAAAGTATAAAATCAGAAAGTTCAAGTTGAGCCATTTGGAAGTGAACCCGAGAAAAATGATCATCTCGCGTAGGTCGGAGAGAATAGTGGAGGGTTTCAGGTTAATAGTCCACCTGCAGACCATTGATGCAGAGGTTAGATTTTATTGCTGTATCTCCCTGCTGTAGAATGGGAGTTTGGCTGATAATAGAATGGTTTGTATAATCAATCAAGGATGCTCTGTAACTCTTTTAGCAGCAAAGTGAAAGTGGATTGCCGCACTGAAGCCAGATAGTATACTTCTAAGCACTGCTGATTGATTGGCCGATGAACCCAAAATGGCTGAACCCTGACCATGAATTAAACCTTAAGATCTATAAAGCTTCATGGTACAACCCTGCTGTGACCATGAAACCCATTCCTAGTCAACCCCACGTTGGAGGTCAGCTCCTGGGACCGTGGTAATTCTGATACAGCTGTGAAATCTGTCACATTGTGTCATTCCATTTTAAAACTCACTAGGGTCACTTGCTTCTTTTCCTTGCTCTGCTCAAGGCACTTCGTCGTGGGCACAGTAACAAGTGGCTGGATAGGGTCAGGACCATGTTACACTCCACGTTTTTGATTTGGGGACTAAAGTGATTCCTGGCTCCCACAGAAGGCATTCCCAAGTGAGTGACTTTAAGCAGTTGGAGTAAGTCTCTTTGTTTCGACTCAGAGCTCACCCTCCCCGGTTTACGGAAGACCATTTGATCGACTCAGGGACTACATTTTTCCTCATCCCTTAACAACGAAGGGTCTGCTGCTTTAGTGGCAGTGCTTCTAGCTGGAATTGAAACTGCGAGCTGATAGAAAAGAAATCCTTTGTTTAGGCTCTTTCACAACCTAGGGCACCTTAGAGCTACTTTTGTAGTCATTGTACTAATGTGGGAAACCGATTGCGCACAGCAAGATCTCACAAAGAGCAATGAGATAGTGTCTGCGATGTGCTTTTTAGCGGTTTTGTTTAGGGATTAATATTGACCAGAGTGCAATACTCCCTGATCTTTGAAATGATGCCACAAAACCGACTGCTTCCCAAACAACACCTCTGAAAGTGTGGCACTCCCTCATTACCGCACTGGTGTGTCTGCCGAGATCTGACACTCAAGTCTCTGGGGTGGGTCTTGAACGCACCACCTTCCGGATCAGAGGTAAGGGTGCACCGTTACCTACTGAACCGCAACTAAAAAGGTATCTAACCAACAACCTTAGCCCCCTGCTTCTGTCACCACAACCCAGGGCCTGAGCAGATTTCACTTAGTCCCTGAGGATGATAGCTGTGTAGTATTTCCTGCATGCCTAGTATAGGGGGTCATTTGGCAAAGTTGGCTCACTGGCTGGGTTGCAATGCAGAGTGATGCCAACAGCATGGGTTTGATTCCTGCACCAGCTGAGGTGCCCATGTAGGTCTTTTATTCTCAACCTTGCCTGAGATGTGGTGACCCTCATGTTAAACTCACCACTCAGTTGTGTGTCTCTCTCTCTCTCTTTCTCTGTCATGAGAGAACAATCCTATGGTCCACTGACATTATAGCAACTGCAACAATACTTGGCTGATAGCTGTCTGGTGTTTCCTGTATTCCTACTGGCTTCATGATGTGGAGGTGCTGGTGTTGGACTGGCGTGGGCAAGGTCAGAAATCACATGAGACCAGGTTATAGTCTAACAGGTTTATTTGAAAACACAAGCTTTCAGTGCCTCAGTCCTTCAGTTGTTAATGAGAGAGATAGTATCAGACACAGAATTTATAAGTAAACGATCAAAGGTTCACACCATTGAGGATGTACTAAACAAACCTAAGATGCTGTTAAATCTTTAATCAGTTAGCATGTTTTAATTGCTTAATATGTATATGTAAATCCCCAAATTCCTTTCAAGTCACTGTCATGAGAGAACTAAAGGTTTTATCAGTGTAAAGAAGAGGTCAGACAATGCATGATCGGTGTGAGACCTTGTTTCGAAACAGTGTTTTAGTTTGGAGTCAGACAGGTTTTATTTCTAAAGTAGGAATTTATAAAATACCATATTGACTGACTGTCTATAAATTGTGTGCTTTTTGAACAAAATAAAATGTATCTGCAAAATAAATTCCATAGATTCACGTGTGTGTGTGTGAGAGCAAGTAAGTGAGTGAGGGGGAGAGTGAGTGCGTGCGCGCGCGTGCGCGAAGTGGGGAGAGTGTGTGTGTGTGTGTATATGCGTGTGCGAGAGAAGGGGGAGAGTATGTGTGTGTGTGTGTGTGAATGTATAGTGTGGTGGGGGTCACCTGTAGTGCACCTCCTAACTGATTAAAGATTTAACAGCATCTTAGGTTTGTTTAGTACATCCTCATTAATGGTGTGAACCTTTGATCTTTTACTTATAAATTCTGTGTCTGATACTACCTCTCTCACTAACACTTGAAGAAGGACTGAGGCACCGAAAGCTTGTGTTTTCAAATAAACCTCTTGGACTATAACCTAGTGTCGAGTGATTTCTGACTACTGGCATCAGGGAGACCTCCAGGTAATGGCGATGACCTACCTCCATGACAAAGATGGTCAAGCTCAACATGAAGCAGCCGTCAAACTTTCATGTGTGTATAACTCCACATCCTTCAACTATTCTGAAATGAACAATAGTCATTGAATTTAGCTCAAACCAATTTTTTTGCATCAATTAAACAAGTATAATTATATCATCATTAAAATATTTTCAGTGAACCTGGCATTTGACTACTGTCCACCACCGTGAGTATTTACAGGTATTAGATGAGGGTTATTTGACTCATTTTAGCTCAGAATTCTCCTAAGAATTCATTTGTAAAATGCCAGCATGACTTTTACCTCCAGTACTGTATCCGAGAGACACTTTTTATTTGAGACATTTCTAAGTTGCTCTTAAATCAGCATTTTACTAAGATTGATCCTATGTTATCTGGTCCCATTCCCAATACCGCAGTTTCTGCCTTTTGCAATATGGCTTGCTCCAATTTCTGAGGCGTTGCCATCCATCTGCATTTGAAAACTGAAAGGTCCAAGTATCTCCAGTCTCTTATTTCTTAAAAAGAACAGCTGTCCCATAACTAGCGTTCAGTCTATGTGCCCAGAGTCTGCACTGCATCTGAAGTGTGAAGATTTTCACCGTCTCTCTTTAACAAAGACCTCGACCTAATTAATTTAGGAATGAAATCAGGAAGAGTTTTATCCACTTTATACACATTAGTGACTGGACTTGGGAAAAATTTCCAAAGCTCTTCAGGATGAAAAATGCTTGAGCAAAATAGTGGGATCTTCAATATCTAAGCTCCAATCATTTGATTACTCACCAGAAACCTCATTGGATGAGGGCACTCCATTATGGTGTATGAGCAGAGATCCCTTTTTAATTATTAATGACTGGAATTAAGTTTTGCAATTAAAAGATCTGTAAATATGCTTCAGCTTATAACCCCCCAGTGTAAAAAGTAATTAAACCTGAGCAGTGAAAGACTTCTGTTGATTACTTTGTTTCGTCATCAGATTATTTCCCACGTTTGTCATTTCTTGGGTCGGAGCAGATCCTCCTCACCCATTTTGTCAACCGAATTCTCAGCAAAATGCTTCCTTTAGCTTTGTTTTTTCTTCACGTTTGTCCTGAACTTGCGACTCTTACTCTTGACCAAAGTCATTTCATTACAATAGGGGTCACCGAGCAGCATGCAGTCTTGTTCTCGCTCAGCACAAAGGGTAACTGAACAGTCAAGCAGGAGTAGCAATCCCTGCGAATTTAATTTTGAATATCCCCAAGGATCGACCATTCAGCACGCCCCCTCCCCCCGAGCATGTTTCGCCATTCAGTAAGTTGTGTGCGGATCTGATCGTCACATTGGCTCCACTTTCCTGCCTGCTCCCATTGTTTCCCAGCCTTCTGTCATCATGGAAGGAAACAAGCAGTCAGCATATGTCAGCACCTCAGACTGAGGTGGCTCGGTGGTTAGCACTGCTGCCTCACAGCAGCAGGGTCGTGGCTTCAATTCCACCCTTGGGTGACTGTCTGTGTGGAGTTTGCATGTTCTCTCTGGGTCTGTGTGGGTCTCCTCCAGGTGCTCTGGTTCTGCCCACCACCCAACGTTGTGCAGTTTAGGTGGAATGGCCTCAATGGGCTGATTGGCCTGCTTCTACACTGTAGGGTTTCTATGATTTATTTTCAAGTCACTCATTATTCTGACTTATCACTGTACCTGCATGATGAAAATTCTAGAACACTACAGATGTCGAGAAAGCATCTAAGTTGGCTGACAAGAACATTATCAGGAACAAAAACAGAAGTTGCTGGAAAAGCTGTGCAGGTCTGGCAGCATCTGTGAAGAAAAAAATCAGAGTTAATGTTTCGGGTCCGGTCACCCTTCCATAGAACTGTTCTTCCTAAGAACATTATCAGGTTGGCTTTTGACGCCAAGCCTCAGTGAGATTTCAAAGGAGCTCCATTTACAGAGGAATTAGGAGTGGGAGTAGGAGACTCAGCCTTTCGAGCCCGCTCTGCCATTTCGCATGATGATGGCTGATCTTATCCTGATCTCAACTCCACATCACCAGCACTGCCACCTTTACCTGGTCTGGTCTACGTGTGACTCCTGACCCACAGCAATGTGGTTGACTCTCACTGCCTTCTGGGCTATTAGGGACAGGCAACAAATGCTGGCTTAGCCTTAATTCCCATGAATAAATGTTTAAAAATGCCATGAGGCTGTGGGTTCATGTTGGCAGTGAAGGAGGTGGAGTGGTCCAGGGTGCCCTGGAGGGAACAGTTCCAGTGGAAGGTTGACAAGGGAGGGGAGGAGAATATGTGTCTGGTGGTGTCATCCTACTGGAGGTGGCGGAAATGACAGCTAATGATCCTCTGGATGTGGATGCTGGTGGGATGGTAGGTAAGGACAAGGGGAACCCTATCGCTGTTGTGGGAGGGAATAGAGGAGGTGAGGGCCAAAGTGCGGGAGATGGGTCAGACCCGGCTGAAGGCCCTGTCAACAATGATGCTGGAGAATCCTCGGTTGAAGAAGAAGGTGGACATTTCAGAGGCCATTTGTCGAAGTTGGCATCATTAGAACATCGGATGCAATAGGGATGCAAGAACTTGGAGAATGGAACAGTTTTTTTACAGGAAGCAAGTTGTGAGGATGTATTGTCAAGATAATTGGGAGTCAGTGGGTTTGTAGTAGTTGTTAATGGCCGGCCTATCCCTTAGAAATGGAAGCAGCCATGTTGAGAAATGGAGACAATAAGGTGCAGGGCTGGATGAACACAGCAGGCCAAGCAGCATCATAGGAGCAGAAAGGCTGACGTTTCAGGGGTTAGGTTTTATTGGTGCATACTCGAGGGGCCTGTTCTGTACTGTATGATTATATAATTCCATGAAACAAAACATCTGTATCTTTATAGTCCAACCCCCTTGTAATAAATGACAGCATTCCATTTGCCTTTATAATCTTTGGCTGTGCCTGGGAACTAGCTGCTTGTGATTTCTGTACAAGGCTACGCAGATCCCTCTACCTCTGAGTTCTACAATCTCTCCCCATTTAAATAATCTGCTTCTTTTTTTCTTTCTCCTACCAAAATGAACAAGTTCATTTACAAATCATACATCTGCCAAATGTTTGCCCACTCGCTCAACCTATCTGTACCACTTTGCAGAAATGTGATGACCTCTTCATAACTTATTTTCCTATTTGCAGCAGCAGCAGATTTAGCAAATATGCGTTTAGTCCCTTCATCCAAGTCATTGATATAAATTGTAAACTAGTGAAGCCCCAACACTGATCCCTGTGGCACTTCACTCATCATATCCTGCCAACTCAAAAATGACTCTTTTTTTGCCTACCTCTGCT